ACTCCATTTCATTGCCCTGCGACAGATGGCTGCAGAATGGGCAGTCTGAAAACATGGCCTCTGACATGGAAGTCATTCATCCATGTTAGTGAAATGTTGATGGAGACCAACCAGCAGATGCGAGCACACCGAGGCACTGAGTGGTGTTTCAGCAGTGGTAACAGCGGGTCACCTCCACTGGTGCATTTTTTACAAGTGCAGCATGCAGGCTCTTGTACATCACTGGTGAAAATACATAGCTTTTTGGAGGTCACTGTTGGCTTTAACAAATAGTGTTATTATGCTCTTTGTATCTGTTGTTTGTTTCCGTGAAAACTACAGGAGGCATTACTTTCAGAGCAACCTACTCTGCATATTTCTAAGAATTCATCTAACTGGGAAAATATCAGATTTCAAGAGAGAGCGCAGAAGTTTAAGCATCTTCTCACTTACGAGCAGAAAAGCTAAGAGCAATGCATGCCGTCCAATAGGCAACATTCCACGAAGTTTATCGGACCCTAAGAATTCACTTTGCCATTGGTTTTAATGGAGGTTCAACTGCAGGTGATGCAGCTGTTCATCAAGACCACTGCTAGGATTCTCCTACATCCTTTTCTCAGAATGTTCCTGAATAAAGACACTAGTTACTCTGTAAACTACACAGGCACACAAAACCTTTGCAACAACAAGGCCATTACAATAACAGAAAAACCAGAAATATACAGGATCTCCTGTTTAAACAAAGTCTGATTTACAAAATATATAGGATATGAGTGCAAATATTCCCTAAGAAATGCTAACTTCCACATTTCCTCTAAAACATTGTGTAAAACAGTTTTCTTAAAACTCATTTTCTTGTTGTTTTTGTAAAGTGTGTGCAGGAGCAATTCAAAAATTAAGCTTCTTCAACTAAGTAGAATTCCTTGGAGCAATGCAAGGAATTAAAGAGCAGACCACTTTAGGATAGCTGGAAGGTCTTTGTTGCTTGAGCATTCCACAGATGCAGCATCTCTATTTTCATTTAGGCAGTAAAATAGAGAAAGCAAGGGAAAGAATTATTATTTCAATATAAGTCACAAATCTAGAGTTGAATGTGAATTCACAAATTGAATAATCTAAATTGCCAGACCTCCAGTATTTGCACCCCCTGTTTTCTCCCATATCCGATTATTTCAGAATTTTTGCTGCATGTATTATTTCTCTCAGGCAGTTGCAATCTCGCTTTTGCATATAACACTTCTCACATAACAGTAGGAGAACATGATAAAGGCTTACAAAATCCTCCTGGAAAAATATCAGTAACTATACACAGAACACTTAGCAGCACGGTGCTAGGCCTGCCCAGAAGCATGTTTGTTCCCACGGTGACTATGGCAAGAAACAACCAGTATTACAAGGATTGGTCAGGACCCTTCCTACCATGTAAAAATTAAGTCATGATCAAATTGATTTTATGCAACCTTGAAAGGGCTATATTATGATTCAGTGCTTTGGATTTTGCACTGTTGCCGGGTTAGATAATCTATCAAGAATCTTAAGAGTGTTTGCTTTAATCTCAAAACCCCATGGTTTGGGAGCAAATTATTGTATAATCAATATGTTTCATTTTAAAACCCGTCTCTCTATCCTGCCCATCATACACCTCTGTAGGTCTTATTCTTGCAGAGGAAAGATTGAATGTGACCTGACAGGACCCCAGAGAGGTTCACAAATCAAAAGCAATGGGGGAGAGAAGTCAAATTCCTTGAGACTCATGATCTTAAAGGACAACTCAATGTATTTATTTATTTTTAAATGCTAGAGGGCAGCAATTTTCATTGTTAAAAGCTACAACAACTTATTCTTCTTGTTGCATAAACAAATTGCCAACAGAATCACAGAACGGCCAGGGTTGGAAGGGACCTCAACGACCATGAATATCCAACCCTCCTGTCACATGCAGGGCCACCAATCTCCCCATTTAATACTAGACCAGACTGGCCTTCGCACGTCAAACCATTCCAGTCTACTTGGAACTCCATCTTTTTCCCATGAAAAATCAGACTTCAGAGCTGGAACAGTTGGCCTAGCAGACAATATCAAGCATGGAACATTTCTGATGGAAGTTCACAACTGTTGCGATGCATTATTACACTACAAGACCTGGAAGGCAAAGTCTTGTGCCAATCAGCCCAGCAGGGACAATTATGGGAAGAGTTGGTTGTAATTCCTCACCTTCATCACCCTCCACAAACTGAAAACTGCCAATTCCAACTAAAGATCACAAACTGCAAAATGAGACCACAGCCACAGATTGGTAATGAACAGGTTCACAAACATTTTCACTGTATTGAAACGTCTAGACAAAAACCTCTTCCATGAAGTATCATGCAGGTCCCATCATCTAACACATTCTTAAGAGAAAGACAAGAGGAGAGACACATGAGATACTGAGCAATGAACAATCTTGACTTCTCAATCCCCATTTGTAACCTTTGACCACTGCAAAACTTTGTCCAAATTGTTAGGAACCTCCAAACCTTCAGTCTGAAGTTATTGAACTCACTGTCTTCCTAGTTTTATATATTATAATGCTATATTTGTAGGGTTTTCTTCTTCCATTAAATAATCAGTACTCTATAAACACATATTTATGTGAAACTTCAGCAGCTCACTATGCCAGGAAATTAAAGTTAATTTCAGAAAATGATGAAGTGCTTAGGTGCTAATTTTCAACCACGTAACTGAACAGGAAACAATATCTGAGAGGTACTACACACAAAAAAAAAATCAGCAAGACATAGAAGGAAGTGAGAGCCTAGATTTTGCTTGAGAACATTCAATGTATTGGCCAAATAACACGTAGGAACATTTCGGTAAGTCATATATTCACAGTTATTTATTTTTCTGAAATCTCCATAGAAAGACCATATCTCTATGGTCTGTCCTCCTTATTGTGGAAGATCTAACCAAGTCTCACTCCAGAATAACCTTACGTACAAGGTGCTTTTGTATTTTGTTTTTTTAAAACTTCCAGTACTGTTGTACTAATGACTTTATGAAGATTAAGACATTTGAGATTTTAACTATTGAATAATGAGCAGCTTCATCCATCCTATTCACCCATCCCCACAAACTCACTAGTTTGTGAATATTGCTAAGACGAGAAGGCAGAATCACATGAGGGAGAAACACTTTTTTCCCAACCTTCTGAAGGTTAGTAATTTGTTAAAAGTAGTCACTGTTAGATTCAGGAGTAAAAAAAAAAAAAAAAAGAATTTCTATGTTTTTGTTTAAATAAAGAAGAAAACAGCAACTTCATAATGTTTGCCTCTCGTAGCAACTAAAAGGTCTGACTGTACCAAGTTCACATCGCCCAATAATTCTGGGATTAAATCTAAAACAAGCAAGTTTATCTGATGCAATTCTTCTGTTAATTGCAAAGACAATGTTTCTAATGTAAGATATTAACCTGGGATACATACTGTCACACAGTGTTCCTATACCATTCCTGAAAATAGAAGTGTTCTCAAGGTCTCATCTTCTCTGTCTCAAGGTCTTGTCCAGTCAGACAAAAAACACTGCCTTCTTCCATCCTGCAACAACAGGTGTCACCTCACGGTTCTGTTCTTTAAGTCAGATTTACTCATTGGATTTGCTCCAGCCCACAAGCAGTACAATCATCTTGATCTTGACTTCAAGGCAAGCATATGCACTCCTAATTTATTTTTTTTGATAATATCTAAACCAGACTGTAAGTGGAAGCAGCTTCCGTTTCATCTTTCTTTGTTTTTCCTTGTCAGCTTCCGCTTTCCCTGCTTGTAAACTAAACAGCTTTCTTGAAACAAACCACCCTCATAGTAGGATTCATTCCACTAAATGATCTACTTCCATCAAAATACCTGAGGGCAACAAATCATATTCTTCTTTAGAGTAAGCACTACAATATAAAGTAGCATTTCCTCACTTCTCTGTTCAGAAATGTTTTTAAAATTGACCAGCTGACTCACTTTGTTATGAACTACACTTATTTATCTTTCAGAGCAGTTCTTACGTAGCCCAGATAATTCCTCTTTAACATCCACACACACACACACAATTTGAATAAAAGGAAATCCCAGAAATTAGTCACAAAATTTCAGAAGTAACGAAAATCCAACACCAATAAGCTCCCCAATTGTTTATTACACCACTTGGAGGTTTTGCTCTCCATCTAGCCACAGGAAGAAAGGGGAACTGTATAACACCTCTCACAATTAAGTGAGACATTCACAGGACCAGGCTTTCAAGTATTTCTGAAATAAAATGAGATTCAAGTACCTACTCGAAAGTCAGAATACAATCAAACCTGAAATCGTAGTATTTTATTTTCCCTTGCTTTCTTCTATCTCCTCTCATCTTTTGTGAGACAGTCTGCAACTGAATTAAATACCACTAGCAATTTACAAAATTTCAGATTTTGCTTTACATAATCCTACTTCATGTTTTTGGGAGTCAAAGAGACACAACTCAAAATATAAATTTTGTTTCCTTGATATGCATTTTGATCCAATTCTTCTTGAACAGGCTTTTTTTCTTTTCTTTTCTTTTTTTTTTTTATACTATTGCCTCTATTGCACTAAATGGAAGTCAAGAAGCACCTGCTGCAGAAACAAAATCCTCTCCTCTCAAGTGTGTCAGGACTGGAGCATACTTGGCATGAATCATGTGTAAATGCTTACTGTAAATTGAGGAAAGCCTAGAGTCATATTAGTATCTCATATATATATATATATATATATATATATCCCCGAGCCTGAATTGACTTGCAAATTAATCTCATGTACCATAACTTTAAACCCGTGAAAAATTACAAAGTTAAAAATAGACCTAAGTTAAAAATAGACCTTTCTTCACAAAAATATGGGTTGACACTAGATCTTTACGTCCCTTCAAACACAAACCATTCTTATTCTGTGATCTTTAACGGCTTTTCTAAACCCTCTGAAGCAGTTAATGGGAACAATTGCATGGATACAGCGTTCTAGGAACCACAAAGCAAGTTTGCTGCTAGACATCTTTATTTTCCTTTAACAAAATACACAAAGGCACAAGATTCACTTATATCTTGTCATTATTTTACAGGTATAAATAGTGCTTCGTATTCAAGTACAATCAAGTGCAGAGACTTTCTATATTTTATGTAAACACAAAACAGATCTGTATGTATGTGCCTCTGGTTCATCTGCAATGCAAATACCAAAGGAGATACCATTTTTGAGTGTCATTTAATTGAATTCTGTCAAAAAGTTAAACTATGAATAACAACAACCTACTGTAATGACACTTTTCATATGCTTAAGTCAAACATCCGATGACACTTTAGTTTGTAAACATCTGTATGTAAGATGTACTCAATTTACTTCAGTAGGGAAACATGAAAAGGTATCTAAGTTCACTAGACCAAATTTACTAGATCAGCTGTGGGCCAGTAGTTGTTCGTTAACAGCTAAATAGATGCCAAGTTATAGGTCACCTTTAATAAAACTTAAAAGTTTAGTTTTTCAAATATGCAAAGTGAACTATGTCTATGACTGTTAGACTTCAACCGACTATACATTCTGTGAGTTAACTTAAAGACATGCTTAATTTACAACATCCACTTTTACACAAAGCTTTGACATATTGTGGCAGTTGAGGCAGTTTCAAGCTCAAGCGAGATTTTTAAGTTGTACCATTTAAAAAAGCTCACCTGAATAGTAACAACAGGCATGAACAAAGCTAAAAACTAGCTACAGAAGGCACTTGAAGTACTTTATTCTGCTTTCACTAAAGATTCTTCACTTTGTTCAGTTGAAATAGCAGAATCTGAAACAGAGTCTTCAGTTGTTGAAATATTTTCTGCTGCTTCTTTTTCAGTTTCTTCAACAAGACTATCATTCAACTGCTCAGCACTTGGTGCTTTCTCATCTGTCTCATTTGTCTCAATGAGCTGAGCTGCTTCTTCAGATTCTGTGGAAAGAAAAGAAATCCAATAACTATTTTCAGAAATAGCATACAGCTAATATTTCTAAAGTGCATATGAAAATATTTTGCAAGCATATACAGGTTTCAACTAGTCATTACATCAAGCTCTCAACCGCCAAAGGTAAAACCTATTGAGAAAAAAAAACTGCTGTGGAAAAGAGTTCAGACCCCATTGAAAATACTACATATTATTTGTAAACATTCATGCTTTCTAAGCTTGTTCATTTCATGTGAGACATTGTTAGAAGTAGACATTATGGTAATTCAGTTTCTTTATTCTTGGTAATGGAAGCAATACAAACTGTATAGCTTTTTCAAGTTGAACCTCCATACAAATACATTCTAAAATATTCTACTTGGTGGAAACTACTTTAAACATAAGGAGCCAGGTCAGGTAATTAAAAAATTAGAAAAAAAATAGAACAATCTAGCTCAACATCTGAAAACTACCAGTAAAAAACTGAATATCTTGCTACTTGTCTCATCTCTGCGTTTTTTCTTCAGTCTCAGATACTACAAATGAGTTTATGCCTTTTCTTGCTCCAGCCCCTCCACACTTAAGTTATAATAGATCTTTACTGCAGCTGTTGAAGCTTGAGTGACAAAGAAAGTAGAAGATGGGAGGAAAAGAACTCCATGCCCCCAATTCTCCTGTAGTACAGCCCAACCATTACTTGCCTGCTCACTCCTGCAGCCCTTAGAATCATAGAATCACAAGGTTGGAAACAACCTGTAAGATCATCTAGTCCAGCCATCTTCTCATTACCACTGCTACCACAAACTAAACCATATCTCACAGCTCCTCATCCAGGCACCTCTTGAACATTGCCAGGGACAGCAACTCCACCACCTCCCTGGGCAGCCATTTCAGTGCCTGACCACTCACCTTAACTGAACAATGCTCAGCATTCTGCACAGTTGCTTTGTTTTTAACCTACCAAAAAACAGAGGCACTTTCCCCGAAGAAAACAGTCAGTTATTTTACTCAATTTTTTCCTTCACTTCATTTTAAAGAAACTTCGTGAAGCTGCTGAAACCCTCAGTTTAAAAAAGAAAACCTTACCTGGAAAGTTAGTACAGTAATTAAAGATCTGACAAAGTTAAGGAACTAAAGAGCAGGTTCTTTAAACAGGAAGCCATAGCAGTCATAGTAAATGGTACTGCTAACTCGCTTATAAACGTGATAAATCTTTATTAAATATACACAGTGATCCTATTTTAAATGCACTGATTAGTGGAATTTTAACTTCATACTGAGTGGCTTAAATTATTGTAGGAACAGTAGCTAAGAAAAAGCTCCCTAAGTAAACTTGAAGATGACAACAGAAAGGTAGCATTTTTGATGATTAATCACAAATCCCAGATTTAATTGAAGAACGCAGCTACAGCAAACAGCTCTATGATGGTTTAAGGCAAGTTTAAGAACTGTATGGTTGCAACTTTAAAAGCCCTGGTTTTGGCTATAGTAGTTCCCTCTTTCCTAACATCTCTGCGTATACTTCATACAGAATGAGTTCATCTAACTCTCTTCTTAGAGGGTACTTGATTGTATAACTTGTGATAATCACAAAACTGCATCACTACTAGATTAAGTAGAAGATTTGAATACTTGTGTTACAGACGAAAACAATGGAATTTTTAAACTAAGAGAAATGTGAACAAATCATTGAACTGCAGGTAAGCTGACCCAGGTCTGCTTCGAAACCACAGAACTCTAGCCATGTTAACCAGATTGCAGACAAAACACAGCAGGCAGAAATTCACATATTTTGTGTGACAAATTGGCTTACAAAGATGCACCATATTCACACTGTCCTTTGAAAGCAAAGCATATTTAATAAGGAAGCAAGCCAAATCTCAAGCAGAATTTGTCCACGTATTTATTATTAAAAAAAACACAGTAAACAAACCGTTCTGACCAACTTACTCCTTAGCTTTGTCCTCTACCAGTTCTATTTCTAATGTTTCTGCTCCATCTGAAACACTTGCCCAAAGCTAAGCTCTACTTTTGGTACAACTCAAGCATATGCTCAGAATAGAATTATTTTTTGAGAACAGTATCACTGTGAACATTTCCACTGAAGTGCAAACCAAGTTTCTGCATCTGCCTTGTAAATAGAAATCCTTTCAAACATACTAACAGTTGCTATATGCCAAGAACATTAAATAATTGTAAAATATTCAGACAGTCAGGGAACTCCATGCAAACCTGGAGATCACAAGTAAAATTATCTTCATAAACTGATGGCTACAATGAAATCTGAAGTTCAAAGGCATCTAACAGACATCTGCACCAGATATTCACCACAAAATACTCATGCTGTCAAACTGTAATTTCAACATTCAAAATGTTGCTAAACGATAAGCCTAAATCAAGAACAGAGCAGAAGTACTTAACACAGGGAACGCAGAATTAATCACGAAGATGAAAGTAATTCATGGTGTGTTCCCCCCACCCCAATATAAGATCCAAACATGAATACTTCTAGATGTTCGTAAGAGACCTGCCTTTGATAGGAAAAGTCAGAAAAATTGAGATCAATTCTTTTCTTAAGAACTCAAGTATTCGGTTTCATTCTGGTACTAAAATCTCCCAAGTCACACAACTGAATAGCAAAGCAATGTTTGTGCCAGTAATCTGCATCAGACTGACAGCTGATGACTTCATATTTCCAGAGGATTACAAAGTCCAAGGTTCAGTGCCAGTAGCACTCCACACAACCAATCTTCAGATCTCTTATCCATAGGAGTAGCATGTAGCATGCTTCACTGTGTGAGCACACAGCAGAAAAAAAATTGAGCTTCATGCTCTATTCATTAGTAAAGTAGCTGACTGGTAAAAAATATTTATAGCACTTCCGCATCTCATTAGCTTGCAGTTTCTTCAAGCTATATAGCTATGGTATAAACAAATTGCATATAAGAGTTGGATATCCCTGCGTTGTCAATACTGTGGTGAGTTTGGTTTCTTGATGTTAATGTTTGTTTACATCTAAGTGAAGATATTCTATTCTTGCCATGACAGCATTTATATTACCACAGTGAACAAAAGCCTTCCCCAGAGCTATACCTTCACAACTCAAAATTACAATCAAGAAAGATGCTCGTTTATTAGTACAGCCCAACTGTCTGTAAGCAGAGTTATGCTTCAAATTAAGGTTCTGATGGAGTAAGTGATTTACTGAAAACGATATTTTCTCATTCATAAGAGATTACTTTGTGGCAGGACACAGGCAGTTGATGCACAGCGACAAACAGACAGGGTAGCATATATTATATCAGCCAGACATTCTTCAGATATTAGTTACGTTAAATATTAACGCATGCTCTATTCCTGGCTGCTTACTAATTATCAAAACAGAACGGTTCATACTTTGCAGATGAAATATTAAGAAAAGATTAGGCATTTAAACCAGATAGAAACAAAAGTTAACACGCCAAGTTTTTAGTTCTAATTTCTCCTCCAAAATGTTTCTGCATATACTTCTTAGCAGGAAAAGATAACTAGAGAATGACCCCCATGGTGGTTTAAGTTTTTCTTGTAGTTTTTGTTGTTGTTGTTTTAAGTTAAAGCACACCAAAACACAAAGACCATAACTAGAAAAAGTAATTTTCAGTATTAAAAGGTAAATCAAAAATATCACTTCTACAATAAAAAAGCTGTTTTTACTTGAAAATCTACTTTCAGAAAAAAGCAGTATTTCACAGAATTTTCACTCCCCCATTTCAACTGCCTAATGAAAAACTCACACTAATTCTTAAAGCTTTCTTTTTTTTTTAACAACATCTATAAACTGACTCAGCAGCTCCGACCCATTAAAAGTATAGTTTGATAAACATTACTTCAAAAGATAATACTAGCTTAATTAGCACGCCCTCTCTCAAAACCTCTAAAAGGCTGCAGCTGAACATTACTCAGATGCCCTCAAGGCACATATCTCCAAGAGTTAAATATCAGTCTGCAGGGGCTTCTCCATTTGATTCATAAGAAAGCCTGAGTTTTGAAGACACCATTAGCAACCCATGTCTTTTCTACAACAATCTTCTGCCTTTAAAAGTAGCCATGAATTTATCAGTCCATCCACAATTTGCTGAAAATATCAGATAATTAGAGGGCAAAGGTGAAATTTGCATGGTTTGGCTTCGCACGCATTCTTGTTTCAATACTATTATCATAAAAGTACGTTTAAGTAGTGAAGTACACTTAGCTCTGTTACCATAGTTCTCCATCTCCTCAGTTGCGTGAATAAAACCACTAGAGACAGCTATATTTATATACTTAAAGCAGACTGTAACCTGTGGCACACAGGCAAACACACGGGGAGAGAAATAAAATATGCTGTCTTAATAAATACTTGAATGTGGAGCTTTTCAATCTATGTCAGAAGGAATTTCTTCCCTCCTGTATGTTGCTCCACGATACCTCCTCCATTCAGGTGAGCCAACAACTGGTTGGGGAACTACAATGAAACTAGCTGAGGAAAGCTGCCCTGTCACAAGCATTGCTCTGACAGGAAAAGAAGCCAAGCAAGTTTTCCCTGCAATGCATCTTTCATCAGACCACACCCACAAAGATGATAAGTCTTGCCTACCAGTCTTAATCATCGTTCACATGCCATTTTGCATTTAGTGTTAAAGAGTAAACAAGTCTTCTGTCACCATCTGACAGTTACAATCTGATGATGAACTTCCAGGCTGAATATCAGGTCTGCACCATCTTAGATAACTTTTTCCAACATACTCCCTGATTTGAATTAATGCAAAATGCCAGTAAGTAGAGAAATTCTTTGGTTCGAAATTATAATTTCCAAAGTCTTTTAAAACACTGCATCTTCCTGTTGGCTGTACACCAGATGCCTACTGTATCTGCAGACTATTAAACGTCTCAAAAGGAACTATGTTAAATTAAAATTGACAATTTGTCTTTGAACTCCCTGATTTTAAACAAGGGGGTTTTTACTAGATTTTCCTGCCCTGAGGAAAACAGCAAAAGGAACAAAGGCAGAAATTCCAACGCAACTTAATCAAATGACTTGCTGAACACCGTTGAAGTTAACCACTTCGAGATGTATTCCCTCCTTCACTTATTTACAGTGCTGTTTTCCGTGTGTTTATCAGTAACAACAGAATAAATAATTTTGCTGTGATATCATTTCTGACGGACGTACTGCACAATATCAAGAACCTTTGGAGTTCAGGACAAAAAACAACAGCATCAACAAGTTAAGCTACAAGCAGGAACAAAAAGATTGGAAAAATTATAGTCTGTACGTACTGTGAAGATATTTCTATAGAAAAAAAAATCACCCAGGCAGAGAAATCCCAACGTAAAGACAAACATACAGACACTACATATCAATAACAGTTGGCACATTCAATAGCTGCATGCATGGGGAAATGGCAATTTCACTGGGCATTAAATAAGAGCAGACTTGGCGAGATTAGCACGTACCTTCTGTCTGCTGATTCCCCTGCGGTTCTCTCTCCCTTGATTCTGGACGCTCTGTTTCCGACTGCAATTCTGGAAGTTGCTTTTTTTCAAAATTGAAATCTGGTAGCCGTGGAGCCCGAGGTCTCGTTTTTCTTGCAGGATTCAGGAAAAAGCAGTAGGCACACCTAAATGCTGCACAAAAGCACATCCAGTAAATAGCCTCACTAACCAACTTCATGTTTCACCCTACTCCTGCACAATATCTTGACTGTCCAAAATACTATAAAGAGGATTAAATGACTGTCAGCACCTAAGCTTATTCCCACCAAATTTATACAAGTGTTCTATTTAGCTTTTTTTTTTTTCCTTTCCCTTCAGCATGCATTTACTTATTAAATACCTGTTTGCTTTCAGCTCCGCTGCACTTTGCATGGGTATTTTTACCCATAATTGTGAAATATTTGACCACAACAAAATAATGCAATTCAGTACCATGAGTTGTCACATGCTGTTCTATTCTCTCCTACAGAAGATCTAAGCTGGCAGATTACCTTTTTATTAAGATGTCACAGTGCTTGTTTTTCAAGTAAAGGGATGCTGTGGACTCTAACACATTTCCTCACTATTTGCTCTTAGAGGAGCATTCAGCTCCAGTGATGCTTAGTTAAGAATAGGCAATTTTCTTCCAAAATACTGTATACCACATAACAGTTAAACACATTTTCACCAAGACACAAGTGGGGGGAAATGGTCATCTCTTGCACACTAGAACTGTGAATACACTTGAGCAAGGACGACATATAGACTAAATATATTCAGACCTCAGAGGAAACTTTCATCTTATTCTTTTAAAATGCTGTATATTTTCTCACAAAATTAAGAGAAACAAGATTAAATAGACTTATCTAGCATTTCCTCATTGTTCAAACATCAGGCTTACACTTGTGGTAGAAAGGAGGCAAAATAAAACATCTGTGTTCAATAACAAGCTGTGTCTGTCTTAAGTTATTATTGTCAGGCATAAATTCGCATATAGCCTCCCAGGGCTTGTTCCCAGTCCTTTTCCAATATCTCCCCAAGATCTTCTTGCCAAAGCAAAATTTTAAGTTCTGGTAAAAGAGGAATACTTTAGTGTCAGATAGTTTCTCAACATAAAACCCTTCTGAGAACCGTTCAAAGTCAGTAGCAATTCTCAGGGATGCATTGGAGGAGGTTTATTCCTACTGAATAGCTTTCTGCACAGAATCCCTGTCCTGGAAGTTGCAGTAAAGTACTTCTTTAAATCTCAAAGTGAATCTTTAGATACAGAGTAGCAAGTCACCATAAAACTGTTCCCATATGAAGTGGCATTTCTAAGTGTCAGTTGAGTATTTAACCACAGTCAAAATGAAGCATCACGTGTGCTTGTTATGAAACAAGCCAGCTATTACAATCTACTACAGATGAGTTCTTACCTATATATTCAAACTCCTCCTTCAGAGCCATACCATTGTGAGAACAACATTGCTGACATATAAGGGCATACCTAGAAAACATTAATACTTAATTTCGTACCTTTAAGTAATAACACACTGAAGCAGGAGAAACATTTTACTTTAGACACTACTAGCTTAGATATTTACTCTAAAAAATTAATTTGCACAGTGAAATTGTTATTACTTAAGGCCAACTAAATCTGTATACTTAACAATAGTTTTTAAAGTTGGTTTAGAAAAGCTACAATTTAGAGTTCATAGTTGAATAGACTTTTAATACAAGCATTTTCAGAAAATAACATCAAAACCATTTAAATATTTGTACCACATTAGCAACCACAGTTAATATGGGAGTTCAGATATGTCTAGACAGTTCTGAAGGCAAAGCATTTATAATAGTAATAAAGCTGAAGTGCTAAGATAACTAAATGGTTGGGTTTCTTGAACAATTTAGTCACCTACTTGAGTATCAAGGTTTATTATTTTTATATCATGACTAATAGCATTCAAAGTGGTTACCATTTTCCCTACAGATTTCATGAAACACTAAGCAGCAGCCATTTCATTTTAAAAATGTGCAACATTCTTAGTCTTGAACCTTCTAATTTTATTTTTTTTTTTAATAAAAAAAGGGTTAAGTTCCCTAACTCGAGTATTTGCATACTCCCTTAAGCAATGTCTTACCTGTTCTGAGGACCATCACCAACCAAATATTCAATAACTCTATCCATAACTCCTCTTTCTCGAGGAAGAATAGGTCTCGCTAAAGGAGGGCCTGGAGGATGAAGACCTAGGAAGACATAAAATGCATCAAATGGATTTTCAACTATATTGTATATAATCTGTGCATGCTAGTGCCATTAAAATTCCACCTACTTAATATAAAAAGCATATTCCTTAATTTACTAGGACAGCTTTAATTTTTTTTCAACCCACAACAGTTGGAAGTTCACCTGCTCCTTCAGCTTATATTAACTCATTCTACTTTTACACATTAAATACATCGTTAAATCTACTTCTAAAAAACTTAATGTATCAATAGTATTTAATGATGGCTGAGAATTATAGACTTTTTAAGAAAAATACTGCTCTTTTCTGAGTTTGCTTCACACACTTTCAAATCTGCATATGTAGTTTTTCAAGTTCATGCCAACAAATCTGGGGGAAAAAAATCAATTCCAACAGCAAAAGAATAAGTAAGGATGCTACCAAAGAAGCATCCACTGGCTTCTGCAGTCACTAGGCAGCAGGAGCCTACCTGAAAACATGTACTGTGTGTATTCAGTCTACACATTAAATAGACCCAGGCATCTGATATTTTTGGAAATCTTATATTTGTTGGAAAGCTGGGTATTTTCAGACCTGTGCTTAGTCAAAGTAATCAGAAGATCACTAGTGATATAAAAATATTTCTGTATTCCATGTGACTACTACCAAAATAGAACAAAATAGAGTAACAACATTAAGTGCTACCACCTTCATCTCAGTTCACATACAGCAATTACAGCACAGCAGTGGCACACATTTGCCTTTTGACAGAGTTTGAAACCCTCTGGTCTGCTCCAACACCATCACAAACTACCAATTTCCATATATACCACTTACATTCATACTTCTATCTTCCCTTCTAGTCCTAACACAGAAGAAGTTAGGCATAGTGAGCAAATGCAATAAAAACTGACCACTCGAATAGCAAGCATTTCAAATCAAGGACACTCCTGGCCAAAAGCCATTTTACACACACAAGTTAAGTTACAGTACATTCAAAAATTTAACACATTAATCAGATTATACGGCAACATATACTGCCTTCCACTTCCCTGTTACTTAATAGTAACTATTTTAAAGGAAATACTGCTTTTAATCCACAGTAATCCTATGCAACGAGATGTATGCCTCCCAGAACTGGCATAACACATTGTCATACTTGCAGGCTACAGATAATTGCTTTAGTTTGAAAAACTGCTTGATCAATTAGTTTTAGTTAAATCTCTTAATTGTGTGTCCAATCAGCAGCCCACATCCACATCAGGTTAAGTTCAAGTAAGTGCTACCAACTGAAAACATCTGATTTCTCATCTTAAAGGACAGAACCCGAGAACACGTCCTTCAGAGGGCACTTACACTACCCAAGATTAACTTTATATCCCAACCTTTCAGATTCTTTTTAAAGGTTACATTAACTGCAGTCTGCTCTACAGCTTGAACACTTTGCAGAGTTGTGAGAATACACACTTCCTATTCTTCCAAAGTATTGCCTCCTAAATTCTGACCTGAAATGACTCTTCCATGAGCAAGGATTCTGCAGATTATTCAGTCCAGAGTTCATCCATACTAATGATAAGGAGAGATTCCTCCCAGGATCTCACAGAGTTACCTGAGACAAAGACCACGCTACAACCACTAACCCAAGAGACTAATACCTATACTTGAAAGCTCATTCAGCAATTGAGAAAGCTGCTACAGCATTAGAAATCATATTTGGCAGTTCATTAACTAAACCTCTAACACGTCATAGAGGAAAAAATACTTACAGCTGAACAATGCTATAACCTTATGGGTCAACATAGAGCATTAGTTCCAGACAACTTGTTCTGTTGCTATGATTTTGCTCAATGCCAAGGAGAAAGAAATCAACGTGGGGTAATCTGAAGCCATGCAAAACTGAGTATATTTAATCCTTAGGAGTAAAATTCTCAAGGCCCAAAAAGCAACTCATATTCTCTCAGGGAAGAGTTCTGGCTTGGAACTATTCAATATATCCAATAAAAACACTTAAATAAAACACATAGCTTAGAAGGGCTTTCAGTGACCACACATTTCGATTCCCTATTCCAGTATTTTTCTTGGAAATGTGTTTCACAGATTGGATTAGTTGAACTAATTCAGAAGGACATTTAATTGAAAGACACTACAGGGAAAAAAAAAAAAAAGAGCAGACTTGAAGCTTCGCAGAAGATAAATTTATCTTTTCTGTAGCCCTTTTATGCATGCCCTGGTGCTGCCCTTAGCTGAAGTCATTCCTTCCAGTAATGCAACTTTCAGCAGACTCCTTCATAAGTACCCACAGAGAAGCAACATGTATGCTATAGGTATACACAGGCAAGACAACACAGCAGCTTTTGTCACTTAATAAGCTGATTTAAGATGGGCATTCTGCTTAAACAGCATTAAATGTAACCGACAGCAATTCTCTCTCAAACCTTTTATCTTTTAACCTCCACAGATGCAAGCAAAGGGAAGATTCACTGCCAAAATGCACTACAATCAGTTGTAAACCTGAAGTTCAGCAGTAACATATCTGCATCTAAGGTAAAAAAAAAAAAAAACAAACTGTTTCACAGAGTAGGTCTCAAACATTTGCAGCTATGTCCTCTCACAGTCCTACGCTGAGAATGAGATTAATCTTGTCATTAAGGGTGCAATTTTTCTAAAAGAAAATGCCTCTCATCAATTCTGGAAAATTGACTTAAATGGTTTGTTCTAATCAGAATATACTGCAATTCACATGTCTCCAATAAGCACATAGTTTCATTCTTAGCATGTTGGGTTTTTTGTTTCGTTTTTTACAATAATCCTCATTTTCACAAACAGAAGAACTGAAATCAGGAGACATAAATCAGCATTCTCAAGATATTCCTGTACTCTGCAAACAAGTAGTACTTAAGACTAAGAAAAACCTCAAAGCAGTTATCAGAACAAATTCACTACAATGTTAACTAGGCAGAATCCAACATTTTACAGATTTTTTTTTCAAAGGCTGACCAGAGAAAACTTCAAGTGAAACACATTTCCTAAGGCTTCACCGAAAAAAAAAAGAAAAAACTCAGTGCTTCCATTAAAAAAAAAGTGAATGGTCAATGTTTAACATGAGTGCAATGGCAAAGATTTGGAAGACTGATATAATCCGTAATAAAGTTAAAACTCTACAATTCTTTTCCTCAATATCTGGTTAGTATTCAAACACTGACTAATATCCAAAAGATCATATTTTTATATGCCTCATATATCATAACAAAGTTTCCAGTAGTTAAAAAAGGTAAAATTTAAGTAAAACTACCTAGCATTACAACATGCTCTAAGGAAAACTTCAATTACCTGCCTACTAATAACTCAAACCAACCATCTTAGTTCTCATGCTGTTATGGACACCAGTAATTAATATGAACATCAAAAGCAATCATTGTAGAAAGACTGGTCATTTTTGCAAAGCTTGGCAAACTCTCAACTACCTGCTGGTTATTAATTTTCAAACATATGGGAGCTCCGTGGTAATACACGTTAAATTGATTCTCCTCTACAAAATATAGTATAATGAAAATGAATTATTAATCTTCTCTACTTTAGAGATAATTAAGGCTATTCACATTTGTTGCAAGCCATGCATAAACTTAGAGGCAATGATATTACTCTTACAGATAGTGAATTTACATACTTCCCACTACAGCTACATGACTAAGATTTTATATGCTTGAAAGGTTTGGGAAAACTCAAGAGAAAACAAGGCTTCCACACTGACACTGACAGTTACAGTATACAACAGAACATTGCTGCAACAGACTAACACGTTTAAGTAGAAAAAATGCGCATGCATACAAGGCATTATCATGAAAATCACATTAAATATTTTAATTAACAGTCTTGGCAACTATCCTTTTAAACAAGCTGATTTTTCTTTCCTTCTCTAAACCCTTTCTGCAAGTAAGGGCTAACATTCACCCAGCTTATTCATTGTACCCAACTCTTTTTTCCCAGTAAGAAAACTAGCAGACTGTTGATACTTGATTATAAAGCCAGCATCTTAACCAAGAAGGAACATGTGGTTTTAAACTCATTAAAGAATTTCCAACAAGCGGGTTTCAGTAAACACTTTTTGAACCCAAATGACCACTTCCTTGGTGCGCGAAGCTAATTTACACTACTTCAAGATAATCAAGAAGTATTAATATCTTGCCATTATAGTTCACTGCAGGGATAAAAACAAATTTAGCAGCTTCATAATAAAGGTAAACAATTACTAAGCAATAGCAAGGCTTAACAAAGTGCAGTAAACAGATCACTACCGATAAACAGATCAGCACCAAATAATAGTGGTGCTGAAAAGAATCTTGGCAAGTTGCATCCATGACCACTTGAGGAACTTGCACATCCACAAGAATATGGGTTCTGATGAGATGCATCCCAGAATCTTGAGGGAATTAGCTGATGTAGTTACCAAGTCACTTTCAATGATATGATGGGGTGCCATCCGGAGGGACCTAGATAGGCTCAAGCAGTGGCCCAGGTGAACCTCATGAGGTTCAACAAATCCAACCGCAAGGTCTTACACTTGGGCCAAGGCAACCCTCACTACAAATACAAGCTCATGGACTAAAGGTTTGAGTGCAGCCATGCCAAAAAAGACCTGAGGGTAGTGATGGATGGGAAGCTGGACACAAGCCAACAACATGCCCTCGCAGCCCAGAAAGCCAGTCGTACCTTGGGCAGCATCAAAAGAAGTGTGGCCAGCAGGTCATGAGGGGTGATCCTACCCCTCTACTCTGCACTGGTGAGGCTTCGCCTGGAGTACTGCATCCAGATGTGGATTCCTCAGTACAGAAGAGACATAGACATGTTGCAGCACATCCAGAAGTGGGCCACAAAAATAATCCATGGAACACCTTTCCTACAAGGACAGGCTGAAAGGGCTGGGACTATTCAGCCTGGAGAACAGAAGGCTCCGAAATGACCTGAGAAAGACCTTTCAACATCTGAAGGGGAACTACAGGAAAGAAGATACTCTAGAAGGATCTGTGGTGACAGAACTACAGGGGAAATGGTTTCAAAGAGGATAGATTTAGAGTGGATATATGGAAAAAGCATTTTTACAGTGAAGGTGGTGAGGCACTGGAACAGGTCACCTAGAGATGCAGCGGATGCCCCATCCCCGCAGACTTTTAAGGTGAGGCCAGATCAGGCCCTGGGCAACCTGATGTAGCTGTGGTGTCCTGTTCCATTGCAGGGGAGTTAGCCTAGATGCATTTTAAAAGTCCCTCCCAACTCTAAGGATTCTATGACTATATTTTTGAGATTGTGATCTCCTCCACTGTCCTGAGATCTAACTTGCCAAACATTCTGCAACAAATGGATACCCTGGATTTGGCCTCTACCGTGATTCACCTTCAATGAGCAGAACAAAATCCCTCCTTCTCTCAAAATCTCCCAAATTTTAGCATCCCTCCTAAACCAAATGGCACATGCTCAATTCAATTAAATCCATCCTTTCACAACAGGAAACCAGAAACAAAAGGAAAATTACTTCCAGAATATGAAACCAAGTGTTAAGGAGCATTCGTTTCTACAGAATTTTGACCTGTTGGTAAACTTTTGACTATTGCACCAAACTAACATGCAATTTTAGAAAAAAATCCAGATACACCACAGACAATTCTTCTAGCATATTTGGGATTTCATACTTAAAATCTATGAATATAGATAGCCTAAGTATACCTCCTGAAGTGAAAATTTAAATATGTGTCAAGATGCATGTTAAAAAATATACGTGCAGGGTTTAGTCAGAAACATGAATGTGTTCGGAAAGTGTTCTCCTCTATATCTGATTTATATAACTGTAGAGTTTTTCTAAACTAAGAACATAAAAAGGTATGCTATATTGTTGACTACAGAATACTGCAAAGTTTTATTGCCATTTAAACAAAGAAGCCATAACAGTTAAATGAGCTCAGGCAATAGGTTTCAGCATCAAGAGGTGCCAGCTGTAAAGAGTTATAGCTAATTGAATATGGAACTCCCGCTTAATCAGATAACTGCTCTGCAATTTCCAAATGAAATGCCATTTCCATACTGTCTGAAAATGGCCTATTTTATAGGTAACCAGAGAAAACAATATAAACTGTAAATAACAGTAAGCATTCTGTTTACCCATTCCAGGCACTGAAGTAGCTGGGGATCCAGGGCGTCTTGGTAGAACGTTTGACTGCAAGGGTGGCACAGCAGTTCTTTCTGGTGGTCCAGTAAGAGCAGATGCATCCCTCTGCTGATTAGGAGACGGTGTTGCCGAAACAAGCGATTTTGGAGAGCCTTGCTTAGGAGTAGCAGGTGTGAGTGTAGAAGCATTTCTTTGTGCTGCAGTCCTCTGACGAATTTCTGGCAAGATACGCACATACTTATTTTAACACCTAACACTATAAGCAAAAAATAAGTACATTAATATCACTAACCTGCTATTTTAATCAGCCAGAAATAACCGAGTCAAATAAAATCAGAAAGATCTATAACTAAAGATTGCCAGCTGAATGGCTGAGCATATCATAGAACAAAGGCCTGTACAGAATGCTATGTTTTTAATAGTAATGATCATTAACTGTGTATTTGGTGTAAAAGACTTCCAGAAGAAAATTAACAGATGCCTACCTTATGATTTCGTATTCTAAGGCAGAAAGTTGGACAGATAAACAGATAGAACCTGTGCTTTCTGTTTTACTCTATGATGTAAACATGCTTCCAAGCATTTCGTTTTCCATGGGAATAAAAACTATTCAGTCATTGCGTAAAATATCCAGGCTAAGTATCAAGTGCTATTAAGAAACTTTCAGATTAGATCATTTCAGGTTGTATAAATTAAAATTCTAGAATGACAACAAAACATTACACTGCTGATCTTAAACAGGTAATACAGTTTTGTTCACTCTTTTCAATAAATGTACCAACAAGCCACACGTTTGGATTGTCAAAAAGCAGGAAAAGACTCTATTACATCGTTCACATACTTCTATCTCAATCTGTGACCACTGAGTTACTATTATTTCTAAGAAACATTTTATATATGTTTCTTCAGCTTCTCTTCTACCAAGACAAAGCTCTCGTTAACAAGAACAGGAATATCATCCCAGTAATATATTACGGTTTGGATATTTTATCAAGTCATGAAAATTTCAAGTTCCATTACATTTATATACAAGTTTGTTCACCAAAGCAAGGCAGGATCAGTGACCAGGAACAGCAACCACTTCATTATTTCCCATCCTATCTATATCATGTTGCCTCCAAAGAATATTTGAAATACTGTAAGAAATTAAATTGAAATTAACCCTCACTTCAGGACTTAATCTAAAAACTGTACCCCCAGAATGGTTACACCAGACACTAACCAATAGCCTCCAGAACTAGTTCCTTGCACCCAGAATATTTTGACTGAACTTGCTTATCTTTAAAAAATAAAATAAGGCATTTAACATTTGGCTTGGACTTTCAATTCGTCTCCCTGAGTTTCAAGATTGGAGATACTGCTGAGTTTCTGACAGGCTGAAGAGTGTTAGCTCCTAGCAAGTAGTTTGTAAACTCATTAGTGACTGGATGGCCACAGGGAGATGGGTGTGCTCAAGTCTGAAAGAGAGACCTCTGTATCTGTGAAGTAAAACACTACCACACTAAGCTTTTGTATGGTGAGCATGTAACATGAGCCTACACACTAGCCAAGGAAGAGTTGCCATTGCTAGAGCATCAGGTCAAACGAAAGTTAAGTTGGTCAACTGCTAACACCTAGTGCTATGAAACTGCAACATGTAGGCTATGTTCTGGCCTACTAATCTCTGCATATATATATAGCGTTAGTATAAACCAGAAGGAAGAAAAGAGCATCCACAGTCAGAAGACTGCAACCAAAGTCTTATTACAAAAATCTATCTAGCTCAGTTACTCACTAAGCAGAATACATTATTTGCTTCCCCTTCTACGTTATCATGCACATTGCTGCGTTATCTGACACTTCATCTTCCAGTTCAGATCACCCAACAAGTATGAAGATTCTGAATGTTTTTAAGTTGGTGTTAGCAAGTAGAACGTGTCCCCTCATTTCAACTGTTCCAGATCTGGATAACAGGGTAAATTTGTGAGGTTGCAGAAATTTCTTAAAGGTTTCCTTGGTAATATGTTTCTACTTTTAAAACTAATCCCGTGCCAGAAATTGAATTTTAATTGAGAAATCATCTATGATGAACATCTCACTGACACTGAGAGATTTCTGTGAGAGATTTTACTAGCAACATTTCAAATTAACCTGCATAGAATAACTACCCTCTTCATTTACTCATTTGCAGCTTGTAAAATTCTGCCCAAAAAGTATAAATCATCTACAAATAATATATTGCATGTTAATTATGAACTTCTTGTAAACTTTCAGTTTCCATAATTAAAGTCCCATGAGTTAATTGAAGAAAGTGTTCATTTTGTCTCTATTCTAACAACATATAGCAACTGCTGAAGTAGTTTGAATTAAGTTTTGCAGTTTTCAAAGGTTTCTTTTTTCCCCCCCCTTCATAAACGATTCCTTTCCATCTGTAAATTATCTGTATGAAGACAGACGAGTAACTTGAAAATGGATCTTTTATCCTTCAGGTGTGCTAAGTTCAAACTCCGCAGTTACTGGCACTGAACAATACTGATACATAAGCAGATAGGTTAAAATGGCTATTCCCAACTGATGGTTCAGTATAATTTCTTGCTGGTTTATTAAGATATTGCTACTGGTGAGACAGCTGTATCTTTCACTTTTGCAAGCCAAAGTATTTTATTTCTCCTTCACTTCAAAACTTGATTTTTGTACACTGTTTTTAAAATATCTACAGCACAACGCCAGCCAAGATATAGTTCACAAAACTGTTGGCTTTAGTGGCAAAGATGAACCAAGAATTTCTTTATCCTTGATGTCTGTACCCAACCCACAACTTGCAACCATCTGTTATTGCATTGTTTTTAATTCAGGTCATGCAGCGATCTCAATTACAACAGAGCACTGCTAACAGCTGTATCAGCACATTGAAGGGAACAGGTAATAACAAGATATTACTGGTTTTTTTTGTGTTTTTTTTTTTTTTCCCCCACTTACTTACTCTATTTTCTTCATACGGACAGAGTACTGAATGTTCATTAACTCCACCCCTCAAAGCACTTAATAGATAAAAATTGCACTTTTTCAAATTCCCCTCCTTCTGAATTTCCAGGATTTTCTAATAGCAAATATCAAGATTAATACAATTCATCTCCTAAAATTACAATTAAGATGTCAAAAATCACAAAAACTTTGAAAAGAGTTAAACAGCACATGATGAAGCTGCTGAATGATCATTGCAGGGTCTCGTTTCTTCTCTGTGGTAAGTTCAAACTCACAGAAATCACAGAAACACCAAGGTTGGAAAAGATCTACAAGATCATCCAGTCCAACCATCCACCTATCACCAACAGTTCTCAGTAAACCATGTCCCTCAACACAAAATCCAAACATTCCTTGAACACCTCCAGGGTCAGTGATTCTACCACCTCCCTGGGCAGCCCATTCCAGCACCTGACCACTCTTTCAGAAAAGTAGTATTTCCCAACGTCCAACCTAAATCTCCCCTGGCACAGCTTGAATCCATTCCCTCTAGTTCTATCACCAGTGGTTTTCTGAGAGTTAACTACTATGCAAATCTGAATGATAAAAAACTTTGAACTAATTAACTTAGTTAGATGTGTGAGTTTCTATTTCAACTTGCAAGTTAAACACATTCCAACTAACCTTCCACCGACTGCCGTGTACAACTTTAAGTCCAATCTGATTGGTCATTATCTATTCAGTGTTTAAGGTAATGAGTTCTGCTCCTTGACCAGCATGTCTCCAAACTGAGACAAGAGAAGTCTAAGGAAGTACACACGTTAACTTATCAGCTATTTTATTAATTTCAAATTACTAACTCTACTGTATGTCATATACAAGAAGTTATACCATAACCACAATAAGGTACCATCTAGTTGTAGTAAGTTATGTTCTGTTCCATGCAGTGTATCTGTTTGGGGCAGATATTTAGTGTGAAATACAGTAAGCTAACACTTTTGATATCTAAAAATTGAATTAATGAATTACTGCATATACAAAAAATGGACTATTGAAAAAAATAAGTCTCCCCATTTCAAAGATAAAGCCAAACAGCACAAATACAAGCGCTGTGCACCTACCAACAACAGTATTGCAAGAGTGAAAAATCAAAGAAATACAGGCTCGTCTATCTCAAATCCCTCTCCCATGAATTAAGACTTAAAAGTTTTAATTTATACTCCAAAGCAGTTTTTCTTCCATAGGAAATTATGTACATCAGATTCTGCAGTTTATTTTGAGCATGAACCCCCACAGGTCTGAGTTAGTTAAAACAGCAAATTACTCGTTAGACTATCTCAAAACTTTTTGCAAGTAAGCCACCTTCATTAACATTATACCAGGCGGTCTTTGTACTGTATTAACAGTAGCATTTTCAGTCTAAGTACAGCATGTTATACTCAACTTTAAGAAAAATCCAAGTATATTCTGTTCGTGACAAACTAGTGAAGTCCATTTTTATTACCTACCTAATACCACTTCTGCACTAGCTTTGAGAAATCAACCCATCTGCCATTAAAAAGTAATGTAAGTGCTGCATTATGAAATGTCTGACTAAACAGATAACGTAGCATAACTGGAAAATTAAGTCAAGGAACACAGTATAAGATTTCACAGCCATTTAGTATTCAAATGAAACAAGTATGTGACACAGGAATTTGATTTTAACACATCAATATTTAATGTTGACGCTAACATTGCCTAGAAGAGCATCAGTATTTACTAACAGATCCACTGTATGGAAAAATAAGGAACATCCACAAGCATAGTCTAATAAACAGTCTATTAACCCTAAATAAAGGTCAATCAATCTACAAATTTTATTACAGAGAGACTTCCAAGAGTGAAAACTGCAATGAAAGATGAGCATCTCTGCTAAAGAGCAGCCATTTTACAGGGCTATTACCTTGTCCAGGTCTTGAGGTTGCAGATGTTCCAGCAGATGGCAGTTCAGCCTCCTGCCAATTAATTATAAATAACATTATCTGAATGTACAACTTCACAGTACCTTTTACATTAAATCACTATCAATAAAGATTCTTACCTTTGCATTTGATTCTGGATCAAACCTTTCAAGAATTAGTTTAGCAGTCTTGTATGTTTCCTTCTCCATCACTTCCTCAAGCTGGAAACAAAAGGTTCCACATATCAAAACAGAACTCTTTCAGCATTTTCTTCACACACACCTATTCACAACCAACATACAGAAGTTACCAAATTGTGAAGCTCTACTCAGTGAGTCATCTTCAGATATAACTCACGTAACATGTGCAGATAACTGCAGATTTGGTGCATACAATGGATATGAAATTTTGCTTCCAAAAGTTTAGCAACTCTAATGGGCTACTTGTATTTAACAGCTTTATTGCAAGGAAACACCAAATATTGCTAATTGTTTACATATAATGAGGAGAATAATTACATGCACCAACTTCAATAATGGAATGTGCAAAAATCTATCAGCCATCATTATTGGAAGTTATTAGACATGACAAGCACATGACAGGCAATTCCTTAGATTTATTTCCTCATAGCACTTAATGCTATTAATTTAAGGAAGGTCGTTAGCCAAGTGCTTTACAGAATAAAGTCTCTGTGCCAATTAACTGCTGTCAGCATCGATTTTAGATTATTTATTAGCAGAAGCAATTAGCTTGCTGCAAACGCTGTGAAAACTCACTAACTAGAGAACAGCCGTGGAATTTGCTCAAATGACTTTAAAGGCTGGAACTCCATCTTTACAGCAATTCAAACTGCTTTTCAGAAAAAAAGGGAACATGTTAAGAATTTAAATAAAAAAAATTTACTGAGAACTATGCGTAGTTCAGGGAGTGTAATTAAAGCACTTCATTATTACAGCGTTTTATTTACAATGCACTCAAGTGGCTTTATAGCTAATACATGGGCTTAATTAAAAAAGTAATCACTAGTAAAGTATCATTTTAGTGGCTAACAGTCAACATCAGAAGAAGCTTAACTTTAAAACAGATAGCTAAAGTTATGACAAATAGCAAATATACATAGAAATTATAATGCATTTTACAGTATCTTAAGCAGACCTTTTCTCTTAGATATGCTGACTAATGGCCACATTCAGCTAAAAGTGGTCTTGTTTGTTTGTTTGTTAAATTTGCTGTTGGCATAAGCTGCAAAACTGAAAAGGTCAGTGGTCAAAAAATTACGTTCCCTCAAAGTCATTTATCACTGCTAAAATAATAAATGGTGCACATTAACATGACTTTTAGGCAAGTATTTCACTAGTGAGAAACTAGCATCTCAGCCTTTCTGCGAATAGAGTCCTTGTACTGCTTTTACCATTAAAGAAACCTCAGAATCACAAATAGACCTCAGAAGATAAATAAATTCCACTCCATTTAACAGATACACAGTACCCATTTAACAGCTCTCTCCTACACACAGTACCAGAAGTTCAAGGCAAGGAATACTACAAAAGCTGCTAATTAAGGACTGTTGAAATAAAAAGGGAACGAATAGCAAAGTAAAAATAATAATAAATTCTCTCAATTTTTATTTCTGCAGGGCTTTGGATTTAACCTACTAACTTAGCAATGCCACGCAGTACAAACTAAGATCAGAATTAAGAGTCTAATAGGATAAATAAAGCATTAATTTCTCATAAAAGTGCAAACCACGAGGCAATCCTTCACATGACCGGGTGATGTGAGCAAGGGAAAGTGGGGAAGCATTATTCATCAGCATCAATATCCAGTCCCCAAACCAGAAGGAAGAGCCCCAAATCACTTTACATAAATGACTGCATAATGCATGCATTTGTCTTCATAGCAACACAGGAGAATGAGAAAACTTCAGACTAGATGACTTCTAGGTAAAGAAAGAACAGAATGCTCCACCATCACTTGACACTTCCCTGTCACAAGATTCAGATGTCACAGTCATTCTCACATTATCGAATTATGGGATAATTCAACAAGTTATTATTCATGTTTTGAAGTTATATACAGTTATATAAATTCAGCAAAGCTGAAACTGAATGAGAACTCACATCTGCAATCAAGCTTTTACAAATTTCTTGAAAACTCCTAAAAACGATCGAGATTTTTATAAGTACACTCACAAACCCCATGGTTTCACTTCTGGAATATATTTTCCTGAAATCAGTTAAATTTATATTGGCTGACAATATAAAAAAAATAGCAAAGAGATCAAACTTTGCTTACTGTTTAAGCAAATTAGTATAATTACTAGAAGCACATAATGGCTTGCGTGTATGAGCTTGGAATACTATAAGTTTGCATGAAGAAGAAACTTGCTGGTGCGCTACCGCAAACTCATTTACAAATGCAAATCAAATGACTGACTTCTGGATCATTCACTACTTTGAAACAACCCCCGAAAAGTTTTACCTAGTGCTGAACAATGGCTCAAAAACACAGCAAACTGCTCTACAGTTCCGCTCTTCTCCATAATAACCTTCTCTGAGATTCAATTTTTTTCCCCCACAAAAACATTTTCCACCTCCTACCAAAACAAAATTCAAGGTTTAATCAAGCTAAAATGCTGAGTAACCAGAATCACAAGTGAATTCTCTATAAAGGTTAATACCATCCTAATCATGGATTTCCAAACTAACCCACAGAATTAGCCACATCTTAATAAAGCATCATAGTTGTGTACCACTTTCTCTTCTACGGATAATTGCATGGATGGCTTCCTTTCCAAATGACAACCAAACAGAATTCCTGCAAAAACTACACCAGTTGCCTACTCTGAAAAGTAATATGAGTAATATATTTTAAGCATCTTGTCAATGCGATTTAGCAAATAGAAATTTGAAGTATTAGCACAGTGCAAGCTACTTAATCACCACACCACCTCGTGAGTTCTTAAACTGAATTACTTGGTACGTCAAACCTCACTATGGAGAAGCATTTCTCCACATTTGTGCAAGGCTGAAGATTAATTTCAATACACAGTATAAGATTTGCAAGCATGTACAAAAGTAACTTTAAAACAAAAAATAAAATAATTTAAGCCAAAGTAGGAACCATTTGGTATGAACACTGCAAACACATCTACAAGAACCACACCTTGGTCATTCATCAGTAGATTTAATTTTTAATCACGCTTTGAGCTTCCCATTGCGAATTCGCAGTACTCTATTGAATATTGGGTAGGCACGGCTGGGCTCACACAATGGTCAGTAATTACTATGCTATCTTAGCAAACTCTGTCCTCAGGCTAAGAATTATCCCATCTTTAAGACCGCTACTCCAGGTAAAGTCTCTGTTAATTCCCACTTCCAGCAGCTTAATACATGTCCTGTGCCCTTGCTTTTAATCTGCTTAACCCTCTGAACTTGCTCATCTAAACACATTCAGGCTTAAGGGTTGACAACTTCATTAACTGATGAAGAACTAAAGAACTGTGACTGCCAAAGAGACAGTCACAGTATCACAAACACAACCATTGTATCGCTTTATAATCAATGATGGAAAAAGTTGCAACTTGAAGCACTGCCTTAATTATAGCTAATGCACTCAATTCTTACCCCTGTGACAGTACCATAGAGAATCACAGCATGTTTTAGACCACTAAGGAAACAATACTGTACAGACTCAACCCCGTGCAAAGTATTATGCACACTGTGTACTTTGTCTCAACAGACAATATTAATGGATATTTCAAGATGAAAAACATTTGTCAGATATTTCACCCATGTTACCATCCATGTGATTATGCTACCAAAGACTGAAGTCTTATGAGAAGAGCTGAAGGGTCCATTTGGCAGCTCACATGGCGCAATCGCCAGGGCTTTCAATATAGTAGGTGAGAAGCTTACTCTGTTGTTGGCACCCTTTGCAACTTAAGGAGCATTACCAGGGAAAAGATAGACCACAGGCAAGAAAAGCTCAAGTGTTGTAACACTTCTCAAAAGGCCACCTGTCTTTAAAGTTTCTCCAGCAGTCAGGCAGTTGAACGACAATAAACTGAAAAACTATAGCTATTGTGGCAGGCTTACAGTGCCTAGACAATCCACATTACAAATAAATACGAAATACATAATTTATGTTGTTTGAAGATCACTACGTTAATATCTCAGTAACCATTTCTATTACCAAATATACTGGCTACTTAGAATCCAACAGAAAAAAATTATAATCTTGTCCTTCTCCCTTTCCATTACTTTGCATAAATGCTGTTGGTTGGTTGTTTTTTTTTTTCCTTGCTTTCATTGTTTTGTTTAACTACTAAGTAGGTATCGCTACAGGTACTTGTTGATACAGATGGTATAAGGAAATTAATACAAAACCAAAACTAAATCTAAATATTATCAAAAATCACATTATTACATAATTGTTATAACTCAATTTTAAAATGTTTTTATCTAGAATACAAATTCTAGTCATGCCTCATTACCTGCATCTGTTTTCAGCTCATTTCAACACAGTAGGATTCAAGCTTAATTAAATACCTTTAAACTATGACCAAACTTTGTAGAAAATCTTCAGAGTCAAAAATACCAACACCACACCAGTTCAATAGGCTCAATAAGTCGTCTGCTTCCTTGCTAGGAATCAGGCACCCACAAGCTCAGGAGATAATCACAGACTTTATTGCCCTCAGACTGAAAAACAGTAGAGCTAAAGTTCTACTTAGAAGTTTGTCTTCAACGATTACAGGTTGGCACTTCCGCTGTTGTTTTGACTTTTCTTTAAACCTTTTTTTTTTTTTTTTTTAAATTATATATTTTGCATATGCAAAGTCAAGACATTTACACCATGTTTCAGATACTATAATTCCAAGCAAAGAAACCTCCCCATTTTTTTTCCTGACTTATCTACCTGATTTTGTCTCATCTAAAAATAAATAAAAAAGACAAGGAACCCACACACAAGTTCAGCATGACTATTTCTTCAAGAATATGAAGATTGTGATCACAGAAAACCATTCATTTAAATGAAATGAGAGATTTACACTCAAGACTCCAAAGGCTCTTTGGTTCTTCATCGAGCTTCTCCAGAAATTTCCCTTCAAAACAACTCAGTAACTGTGTAAATTGGAAAAATTAACTAACTTCAGTTATTGTTTTAATAAAATAAGATTAAAACTGTAGCTGTCATACTCATTTATTTCATTACTACAAAATTTAAGCTTCTCCAACCCTTTTTTATCACCTCTTCAGCCAAAGGACACCTCCATTTAATAGATTCCTTAAAATAAAGATTAGCAGATATAAATTAGCAAATCCTCTTTACTAAAGGACAATGACATAATCAGGTTACAGTTTACCGTACCATTTTTACATTTACAAAGTACTTCCACAGCCCAGTGGAAGATCGGTGAATTCTGTTTGCCATGTGAAGGCCATACGATTTCAGACTCTTACCAGACACCTTTCTAGTAGCTTTGCTGCAGGTTTGCTGTTAATTTAGCTACTAGAGTAAACAATCCAGAAGGCAGAAGGTAAACGCTTAGAAAAAATGATAAATAACAGGGGCACATACTGCAACTACAGGAGGATGTTTCAGGGGCAGGGACTTCACTTGTGATTTTGTTGGTGGCTGGTTGGAGGTTTTTTGGTTTTTGTTAAGTTTTGCCCTGAAAGACTTGAGATGAAGCCACAGCTTCCTTAGAGTGACTAGCCAGAGATGAAGCAGCTTTCAGTGTTATGAACTTTGCAAACAGTGCAAGTTATCCAAGACTCAGTAGCTTTTCCATCTAAAATTTGTTTCAAGATCAAGTGTTGATCCATCTGACACAAAGACCTGACATACACCAGTTTCATACAGTTAATTCATCCACACAGCTCACAAAAACACACTTGAAATAACTAATAGAACTGATACAAGACAGTATACATTTTCAAGAGAAAAGAAGGTAATTGAATGAATACATAGTATAAAAATAAGATGGAGGAGAATGGAAAATAAGCAGAGAAGTATCTGAGATAGAAACAATCTGCTACTTGATGAAAAAGTGAATTCAGATGCAAGTCATTTTTGCTATTTATAAACAAAAAATTAGATGATGTGTCTATTAAAAATTCAGTTGGACTCTATGTTCTTGAATCACTATATCTACTGCTTTATAATCCTAAAGTAACAAATAGTGAGCAATAAGCATTTTAAAGAATACATTTTCATTTTTTGCTAAATCACTTAACAGACCTAGCAACAACAAAACAGGGGGTTTAATTTAAACTACAAGGAGAGAATTTATTCTCATACACAAGCAGCCCAGTACTACTGTGTGGCAGGAGTACTAGAAAACATATGAAACAGAGCAACGTTAGTAGCTTCCCCCCCCTCCTCTGCCTGTCTTTGCTTTTCATCTATGTATCTTCATCAAGCTGAGCTTGTAGAGACAAAAACATTTTAGTGGACCACAACAGCTGTTTTTACTTTAAGTTTTACTTACAATTTTTTTCTTTTGAGATTTTAAATCGTCCAGCGCATCATCTAAAAGAAAAACATCACACATCAGTTTCCACATAAGAGAATGTCTGCACCCTCTGAACATTGAATTTGCCCTGTACAATCAAAGTTTACTGACCACAATGAAACCTACTTCAGTAAACCTTGCAAAAAAAAAAAAAAAAGAGAGAAAATAAACTATTTTTAACCCTGAAACTGCTCATAAATTATAGCCCGCTTATCATTTTACAGTTATAACTATTTAAAAAGTTTTATGTACCATTTCCTCATTAAGGGAACCAATTCTAGCTAGTGCCCTGCTTTGACCTACATTAAAATTGCTACAACAATGGACCAAACGCACTTAATCTCAGCAGTCAAACTACAGAAAAAAATGCTTGAAGTCCGTGTATTAATATATCTGAGTACTGGATTTACTGGCTTCAATATTTCATGTAATCCTCTTACACATGCTAGTTTCAAATGCCGGATGAATTCAGATTTGAAGCCCAGAATTCATTTCACCCTTCCAATACTTTGAGATCACAGAAGAGAAAAAAAGTTTTGTAGGCTAACCAGGTCATTTTACTACTAAATGTAAGAGACTTTGCTACAAGTAATAAGTGCAGCACTTAACCTCTTATCTCTAGAAGGAACAGAGAGGAAAGGTCAAATGCAATGGGATTCTCCTTAAGTCAGTGCTTACAGCTTGGCACTCAAGGAAACCTCACTGCAATAAACCATCACCTAGCACAAAAGATATTTTCTTGGTAACATCAGTTTTCCACTACATCCTTCATAGCAAGAAGAGCTTAACACACATGAAATCCTGTTTAAAACTCTTCCTCAATATTACTGGACACTAGCAGTTCACTCGTAAAATATAATGGTTTTTCCCATTTTTCAGTTTTCCAAAAAAAGTATAAAGCTAAAAGAAACAAGAAAAATATTAAATGTAATACATACTTTTAGTTACATACATACATTTGCATTTTCCTATGTATATTTATTAGGTATATTAAACACTTCCAAAAACTTATTCCAGGAAATAACTTTAAGGAAATCATAACATCTTGAACTTTTCCAGAATGTAGGAACCCACTTTGATGTAATAAGCCATTCTATTAAATGTATAAAATACTAGAACCTGGCACATACAAAATTCTAAAGGTGAATGCTAAGAAAGAATAACTATTACCATCACTTATCAATAAAAGAGATGGAACGAACTTAGAGAAAAATCTATTTTGTGCCAGGCCAGACCAAAGAAAATATATAATTACAGGAATAACTTGAAATAAACTAATACACCTCCACCCACCAAATTTGATATTTGTATTAGAACAGCCTCTCGGGTAGTCCCATATAGATTAACAGCTTGCACTGTAACGTGGCATGGCATCAGGCAGCCAAACAAACAGGAGTGTCATTCATTAACAGTTAATTAAGAAATAGTGGCTGCATTTGGTACACAACTGCCTAGAACAACTTTGAGTACAGCCACCCACATAGGAATACGGTAAGTTTATAGAGGGAGCATTTGTTTCTTTACCCCCTGCTTTTGACAAGCATCTCCTGCTTGCCCCTTCCAAGGTGGACAAATGGCAATTACTGGAAAGCACTCTCAAGAAACCAATATATCTTATCTTAATTAAGCCTACTGAAAAAGCATTCATATCAGAGAAGTCAATACCTGCAAGATACTTCATTTATTTTCTCCACGCTTTGGGATAGATCAGCCTAAATCTTCCTCAACAGCTGTCTGACTCACCTATCTTAAAAACTGATATTCCCTAATCTTCCTACATCACCCATCCTCCCTGTGTTTCACTAGGAATTTTCCTCATTCAGAGCTTGGCTCCCAAAACTGATGTAGTTATCCATTGTAGACTTCCACAGTACTACACTATCATTTCTAATGAAACTCATTGTACTAAATTATATCAGAATAAAAGACTGCACTTAACATACTCAGTTGCCAGTTCTTTTTCCAATGCATTTTTTCTGCAACTCTTGCACTGTGTATTTTATTTCTCTTTTCTAAATAGAAGACTTGCAATTTCGAGGTAAAACACAAATTAGGTTTGCCCAATCTCTAGTGCAGAAATAATTCTCTTTAGCACGACCTAACAAGTACTTAAACCTTTTCAACACAGGTTTAAAGGCAGTAGACTTCCTCATATTCTAAAAATAACAATGAAGGCTTTTAAACGAATCAGAACAATACACTTTTAGTTGTTATGGAGCCACGGAATGCAAATACATATTTGTCCTTAGAAATGAATCAACACAGCATCACAAAATATATGAACGATTTTATCTGTACATAAAAATGTATGTCCCTATGCTTGCATTTAAGATGTAAACATTAAATTTAAATGTCACTTTTGGAATTTCTTAACTCAAAAGCTGTCATCTTTAAGACATCTTAAAGACATCTTGTTGCTCTGCAAGTCATAAAACACTGACGTTTTTCTGTATAAGTGCTCATATGACCATGAGATATTGCTACAGGCAAATTTCAGAGAAAATCTCAGATGAAGTCCAACTACCACAAACAAGTGCCACAGATGAATTTCACATTAGAATGAATTTGCATGTACTTTAGAAACTACACACAAATATATTTGAACACCAGCATTTTTATTTTTTAAGTTATATGACACCCAATTTTCCTTAGCTCACAGAAAAAAGGCAATCACACACTTATCTCCTTATACACTCAGGAGAGCATAAGCATATTCTGGAGAACTTGGTGAGGAGCAAGCCATCTTGACAAATAAATTTAACACCTGCTATACGTCTCTCCTCTTCTACATAAAAATAACAGATTAGAACTGCAAGAATACATGCAAAATGCAAATATTAAAGAAGTTGCTCCTATTATCTTTATTTTTCTGCTTCATTTTATTCTATTACACTTCCAAATATCCAAAGAGGGTAGAAAGTTATCATCATTTCATAAGCAAAGTGAGAGATTAAACAGTTTCCATAATGTTCTCTACAGAGTTGTGGTAGAAACAACAGTGTAGCTAATGCTACCCATTTTAACATCAAGAGGTTATTGCTGGAAGCACCAAATGATTCAAAATATTCCCTTTCTCACAGCAAGCATCATTCCCAACCAGCCCAATACACTTAGAAAGATACAAAAATACTTACTATTCCTTTCTGTCCTTTTGGAAAAGAAAAAAATGAGCAGCGTTCTTATAAACCAGATTCTTTAAAACAGAAAGAAGAGTTATATTAAAATATTGCAGTAATCATTTCTGAAGTCATTTAGCAAAGCAGACAGTTCACACAGAAGACTTACCATAAAAGATTTAATTCTGTAAATACAACAAACAAATCTTCAAACAATATCTAAGCAGGGAGCTTAAATATTAATTGAAGCTTAATAACTACATTGCCAACAAGACACCAACATTGGTATAAACAAAATCCAACTGGAATAATATTAAACAAATACTACTATAGATAAAAATACTAAGGAAGCAGTAGCAGTAACATCATTGCTTGCTAAAATGCTCAATGAGAATGTTTGGAAACCTCAAGGTATATGAAACTAGCTGAAAACTACCTATTCATTGCTTCTTGTTAGATAAATTTATGAAGCAAGTTATCCAAAAAGCAAGTCTACCGGCTAACTCCCAAAATTAAGACACAGGAGGTTTGTACAAGGAATTCAATACCAATGAAAGGCAAGAGATACAGCCATTGTGCAAATGTTCTCCCAAACAAACATAACTGTCCTGACTCCTATTGATTTTACAGAGCTCTGAATCCAGTCACATTCTGTACAGTTTCAGCTGACTTAGTCCAAACAATGCAGCAGCTTTATCTGTGTGCTTAAAATAAAATTACTGATCTATGTCTGTTTTACATTTCAAAGGCTTCTCTACAATCCTTAAGAAGTGTTTTAATTTAGAATTGTTTATAATTATGATAAAGTAGCAATGTTTCAGTTGAGCAAGAAAAAAAAAAATCCACATCCTAAAGGCTAGAAACACTTTCTGAATAACAACTAGCATAGGAAAGCAAGCAAAATAATGCAAGATTTTAAAAATACTTCTGAGAAATTCAGAAAAACATATTTTGTATTTATATAATGGCTACTCAGTTTCAAATGCCTTTACACAGTAACAAAACATGAATTAGTTAAGTCAGACAAGGCAAACAGAATGTGAAAGTAACATGTCCAAGGTAAGAGAAAATGAGAAAACAAGCTTAACTATTCCACTTCTGAAAGTGTACTGTAACAACTTCAGAATACAGACAGCTTTGTCTCTTTAACAATCTAAAATACATCTTCCCATGAAGAAAGAACACTAATATACATGGGCATTACTTCTTTGTTTTTATCTATGCTTAATATAGAAAAGAGTCTTTTCCTACCTAAAGTTGTATCCTAAAGAAACACATATGGTAGGATTTCATGCAGCAGAAGATTCGTGAAACTTTGAGGTCAAAGTTGGAAAACAAATCTTTTCATATAAACATAACAAGTTTAAAATCAAAAACATTTATACGAGAATTAGGGCAACATGAAATAGTTTTCATTGAAATATATTCCATTTCAAGAATATCTCCCTAAAACTTCTCAGATGTATCAATACACATTCAAAATGGATCCTAGCAGTTAACTCTCCCTACCAGTAATGTGCCAAGACTGAGGGAATGACCTAAGGCAGAAACAAGATGGTGACTGACTGCAACTGGAAAAGGCAGACATATTCCAGTTTGATTAGGGCTTTAAAAAAAAAGAAGAAGAAGAAGAAGAAATCTGTAGAGCTGTTGCAGGGTGGCACCTCCTGACTGAGAGCAAAGACAAGCTGGCAGTTGTTTGCTATTCACATCTGTCAAAAAACCTGAAGTGTAATAGCTTAATAGAAAAAAAATCAGATGAACTGTCACAAACTGTAAAAAACAAGTCTATCTCTGAACTTGTAATCTAATTCAAAAATGCCACCATTCCAAAAAAAAGTGAAGCAAGAATTGTGAAGACAAATTAGGGAAAATCCAAAGTGAAAATTCACACCAGAGCACTAGAAGCCATCACCTTCAGTTGTAAATTTTTCATTTCTACACAAGCCCTCCTATCTCAGTCAAGTGAAGGTTCCTTTTCTACACACTTTCACTAGTAGCATAAGCAAGCTTTGCATGCTAACAACAAAAGCCTTCAAATCAGTGCACTTAAGAACTAAACAATTCATATTGCTGTCAAAGATTAATTTATAAATTAATTCTTTCCAGAAAAGAGAGCACTGCTCATCTGTCTTCTCCATAGGATTCTTTAACAGCAACACTTGACTGCATTCCGCTTAACACAATATAACACTCAGAGAATAACTTCATGTATCTTTTAATGTATTACGTTCTGTGTTATCCACACCAATTGATCTTGCAGATCCTTAAATATATACACTTGACTCTTCCTTTCAAGTCTAGAGCTAGAGCACTGGCAGACCAAGTTTTCATACAATTGTGCTGCACAAACATAGACAGTATTCATCATGTTCGTCTGAGACAGTGGAAATTCCTATGACAGAAAGCAGTAAATGCACTGTACATCTGTTTGCTAGAAATGTTGCTCCTAAGACCAAGACCAATTCCCCTTGCTGAGGGCTGGGGGCAAGGAGCAAAGAAATGAAAGCACTCCTTGGTAAGTTGGGAACTCAACTTTTTTGTTTTTAAATAGAAGAAGGTCAACGTAGAAAACATGTCACTCATGAGGACAAATTGCCAATTGTGTAGAAAAAGAGAAGACAATTGTCCCTCCTATCCACATTCAAAGATGTTAGGGTATTTTCTATGTAAACAATCAAGGAACTTACAGAAAAAAACAGCTATTTACATAAAATTGATCCTCAATATATTTAGCCCAATAACCTTCCACATAACTTCAGCATTAACAATCAGTTAACATCTAAAATTCAGTTTTTCCATCCAGTCTCAAACTTTTTCCTTCAATTTTATATGGTTCACTTCACATACAGGCAAAATAACTTGTATCACTTCCATACAGTAGTGTTACTTTTCCAAAACAGCAGCAGAAATAAAACTCAAGATAGGGCTCTTCTGTTTATATTATGCTAACTGGCAGCTGCTCAGGTACAGCCCTCTTTCTAGCCCTGGTATATCTTAGTCAAGCAACTTTAGATGCTAATATCTTCTGATGACAAGACTTAATTCAGTACTAAATCCAGACCCTAGAGAAACATTTCCACTAAAGAAAGAGTCTGTCCTACTACTTGGATTTACTTTAAAATAAAAAATTCAACAAGTTATAGCAACTCAAAGATCATCAAAAACAAACCCAAGCCTCTGCCACAAAGTGTTCTCCATCTCCTACTATCAAAGGGACAATTGTTTTAAAAAAAAAAAAGACGTTTACTTACATCAAAGGAAATGCAAAAAATGGAAGTGTCATAAAAAACCTTGCTGTCCATTCATCAGGAAGACACCACAAATACACAATTAAGCAGGTGGCAAGATAAAGAAGTGAAGAGTAGAAGAGCAGCCTTCCAACCCATAGTTTCTGTAGTCTCTGATTTTTTTCTCTAAATTCTTCTAATGTCTGTATTTCCTGTAAATAAATAAGTTCAACTTTAATGATGAAATGTATCTGTGGCTTTTATCAAGTGCTTTTAAGTGCTTGCTAAAATTAGCCACATCAATGTCATACCTGCATAGAAGAAGTTAAGCATACTGTTGATAAATGCCATTATTTACCCAGAGATAACCTTCATACCCTAAATACACCCCAGGACTATACTTACGATAAGGGCCACTTGCACTGGATTAGCAGTGACATATCACTACTGGGCAGAACTACTGAAAATTATTACTTTTTCCTATGTAACATTTTAGTATATTTGGGACAAACTGAACACACTCCGTATCTTATGAACAGCTATCTCTAGGACCACAGAAGACTCTACCAAATACATTTTGCATTCTAAAACTTTTATCAGACATGTGGAAATTCAAATGTTTTTAATGCTTTCCTACTAACATGGGAAACTGCTGAAACCTCCCAGTCACTTCACGTGTTTTCGTCTCAATATTTTCTCACCCTAAGACTAAAATCTCAAAAACCAAAATGATGCTTTTGGCATATTAGTAAGCAATCATGCAATGCTCTGAAGTGTTACCATTCTGACTGCATTTCGAGTGACAACAGAAGTACTTAAATTTAAAGGACAAAGAAAAGTATCAATAGCATATTTCCAATGAATTTGTTTCTTCAAGCAATACAGACACGTGTCTCAAATTCCAGCTAAAGACCACAACTGATGAATTAACTGTCTGTTTTGTTATTCAGGCTCTACCTTACTTTCTATCACTATAGTTACAATTTTTGCACTTTAAACCACACATTGAAGCTTTTCTAGCGAGCCTGATAAGCAGAACTTTCCTCAAGTGACATTTCCCATAACACGGGAGTTTAACTATTAGTTACAATAAAATTGTGCAGTTATGCCAAGCTCACAATTCAGACCCATTCCAGGCTTTCTAAATAACTGTTTGAACTACAGTTCCTCAGTAATTATTACACAGTGTTTTGGTGTGGTTTAGGTTGTTAAGTTTGGCAACCAAAGGGAATAATCAAAATGATTTAAAATTCCATAGCATGATTTTACTTAAAATAAAAGTGTGATCAAACAGGACATACATTTCCAAACAAAAACAAATCACTAAGAGGCAAATACATACCTTATCAATTTTTTCTAATACTTCTACAGTAGAAGGCTTTGCCTGCTTATAAGGGAAAGAACAAAGCCATTAATCTGACTGAAGCAATACATTGAGGATTAGTGTAGATTAACAGTTTCCTACCTAATATGTAATAAATTAACATATCATCCATTTTATATAAAGATAATAATCTTTCCTACTTTAATAGTGACAAATAGAAGACACTAACACATCACTGTCTTAGTTGTCATGACTATGGATTGAAGGCTCCACTCCTACACCACAAAAGATGAAAACCTACATGTGTACAAGTAATAATAGCTGTGTGGATAGGAAGTAAAACAAGAAGTGAACTGATGAGTGGAAGGAAGAGGTAAAATAAAGAAAACATATACAAGAAGCCTCAATCTAAAAACTTTTAACCTTTTAAGCAATACTCATTGCACACAAAGACACGCTCTAAATAAACCATAAGCAACTGCAAGTAAGCATTCTCATCTCCAGTAAAATTCCCCTTAGGAACAACTTGGAATCTATCTTCTAACAATCTCCCCTAATTTCTGATAAGTAGGAAGGTACTAATTATCCTAATTTTAACTCACCAGACCACAGACTTGAAGACTAAGGCCAATACAAAAACCACTGTAGACTTGGAAAGTCTTCCTCCACCCCCCAAGCAGGGCTGGCAATTTTAACTACACTCTCACCTTTTAATATTTTTTTTTTTAAAACTCTAAAAACATAAGTTGTAAACCCAGACTCAACAACTCACATCTGCTAATAGAAAGAATAGTCAAGAGCATAGTCAAAAGCTTCATAACTTTTGCAAACTCGGTATATTATTAAATTATACATAAGCGAACAAAAAGAGTTAGGAAGAAAGATCTGTAGAAGTAGCTACCAAATTATTTTTTTACAAAACAGAATGATATTCTGAATGTATCCGCTTGGACTGAGAATAGCCCCTAATCTTTACAGTTACAGGTCTATCTATCTATCATGATAGAGTACCACAAAACTCTCTGGAGTCAAAGCAGTAATTTTGTAACTCAACCAAACCCTGCCAGGTCTGGAGGAAATAAAGCTCCAGCTGTAACTTTCAACCAGCATCAAAGTCAACAAATAGGATTAAGAATCACGTCCTGCAAACTTCAATCTTCCAAAAGATTATGACATTGTTAAAATATTTTACTTACCCTCCATCTTGAAATTAATCCACCCATCTTCTACAGTGGACAAATGTTGGTAGAGCTATTAATCTTCTACCAGAATTCACAGCTAGAAGTAAAGCATTAAGCACATAAGACCAATCTAACAGCATTCTACAAGAGTGATAACATACTTTAATATCTAAACATGTCAATGTAGTGCATGAGATAACTGCACAGTTATCTACGTGTATGTTATAAACAAGTCTCTGCTTCACAGACCATCTTCTAGGTCTCTTCGTCAGCCTGAACGTGAACAATTTAATTTATACTTTGTAAGTATTTAAACTGAGAGGGACCCTCAAAAATAGACACAAAATAACCACTTACAAGCCAAAATCCTCCAGCACAAAAAAAAAAAATTATAGAACTTATTATTAGGCAGGATAATTTATGAAACTGAATTCCAATTAATTTCTCGGCTGCTTGTTAGCTCAACTCTTCATGTTCCTTTTTATTTAGTTGACGCTCCCAACATTCATAATTAACATCCTATTATTCATGAGAAAGAGGTTTTTCTTCCATAGATTTCCTTCCATTTCACACTCATCAACAAGAACTTTTCATATAGCATTATTATTCCTCCTTTGTATGATCAGTTTTAGGTTCAAAGCAGGCTACAGAGATTTCACATGCTCCTGGAAAGCACTACACTGGCAGGTGCTCCCTGAACACAACTCAGCGCAGTTACCAGCACATTAAATAGCCCTAAAAGCAACTCTAGGCATGCAAAAGTAGTTCAGTCTACACAAATCCAGAACCCATGAACAACACTAATGTAATAAGCTGGGCCTAGGTTCCTGAAACACAAGTGTTGCCTTCCATCAGAAAGTAGATAAACTTGGAACCTTAGAATGACAGATTTTCTCTCCAGTCTGGACTGAAACAATAGAACAAAACAAAAACAAAGCACCACCCAGCTAGGCAGAAGTAAGTGATTATTAGTTTGTTTATGAGGTTACTTTTGGCCAAGCGTTGAAAGATAAAGAAATCTCATCTTGATTCAAAGTTGTTCCCAAACTGTCTGAGGCTGCCAAAATGAATTAACACAACATAGGATACACACTGCTCACTAACGCTACTGTATTACAGCCTCCTCTTCACCTTGTAAGGGAGCCAAGGACTTCAGAACTCAGAACCGTAGGCCTTATGATTTTGAAAATCCATCCTTGAAGATAAGCAAATCTGTATTTGAAACGCAGCCAAAGTGAAGCTAGAACAGATGGACACATGAGCTCTGCTGTTGCCAAATTACTAGCACAGAGTGGATGAGCTACAGAAAAAGCACTGCTACCCCTTGGTGTTCTGCATTAGTTCTCCACTCACCATTACAGTAACTCACCTCAGAAAAACAACTTTTCTACTTTTTAACATTCAATATTACTGTTCTCTAGCACTGAAAATTTCACACCATTTTTATTTTACCAGGTACATGTAGATAGATTTTGACACACACAGAGTAGATCTGAGATGACTTGCTTCACAAGTACTCCCGCATTGAGATAGCATCATTATTGCAAAACAGAACGAACGCTGTCGGCTAGCCAATTAAGAAGCTTGCAAACCTAGCACATGGTTCTCAATTCCAGTTTACTTCAATTATACTGTCACCGGTGCTAGGAGCACAGGTAGCTTTTTTAGGTTCACATGGCCTTTTGGAGCCATTTTCCTTCACGCCACAGCTGAAGAACCTCTGACACAGAAAATGTAGAGGGCCCTATGAGCAAAGATTGTTCATGAACCATTGGTGTTGCAGACCTCTGTCAATAGCACGTTCACAGTGGTATCTAAATGTCTTTCAAACTATCTGGAAAACATCTGGAAGGGAAACAGGTTTGACAAGCGTCATCACATGTATAATTTTATATGAACCATGAGAGTGACAGGCTTTATGGACACTGCCTGTGACTCAGTATTACCAAAATCCATCTCCAAAGAGGATTAGGGCCACTGAATTCACATTTACAATTTAGTCACTTAATCCTTAGTTACCAGATGGAGAATTTTCTGTGTTTACTATGGATCACTTCAGACACTTTCCTTCCTCCTCTTTCAAAAAATGCACTTCTTCAGCACAGAGCTGTTTTTCTCACTCATTACGCACTGCTGTGATAGGACTCAATTCCACAAGTTACCACTGATTTAATGTACAAATAAGATAGCTGAACCCTAGACTTTAAAAAAAAAAAAAGATCAACAATATAAGAGTTGTGAAAGCTACACAGAAAACACACTTACTGTTTTCTATTGCTTAAGTCTCAAAAAAAAAAAAAACAAAAAAAAAACATGGTAGCATCTACTCTACCCAAAAAAGAGGCAGCTTGATTAGGTAAAAGCAGACATGCCACAGAAGGACAGCTGGAGCAGAAAAGGCTTTTCTTTTGAAAGAGGGTTGATTGAGCACAATTACAGAAGTCACCAACCTACTCATCCAAAGGAAGAAAATGATTTGATGATCTCATTACACCTCACTAAGCTACACAGTCAGGCAGACTACCTCCCATAGCTAGAAGCACAGGCAGCACTCTGTTTCAGAGCTAACACAGGGTCCAAAAAACACCAGGTACCCTCAGGGCTCCCCTTAGAAAGGGCCCAAAAGCATGCAGAACGTCATCGTCGCTTTCAGATTTCTTCAAGCTAAGTTCAAAGAAATGTTATGATTAAAAAGCTCTCCAGAAATTAAAATCCCCAATGTTAAGAACTAACACACTGAAATTCATGTCTAAATAACATCAAACCAAATCATAACGAAAGGAAGGAAGGCTCGGAAAGTCACAGCCAGGACTCTGCATACAGACACACAGGCACTGCACCCCAAAGGGAAGGGGAGTGCCGTTTAAATCAGGTATTCGGCAACCCTACTAATTTGCTCCTGCGTGGACTCCATCAGGTGCTCCCATCACACCCAGGGATGGAAGTGCCACCTCCAAACCGCGTGTCCGGGTCTGCTCACTCCGCTTCCACCCACAGCCCAGGCTCCCGCCGGCCTCGGACACCCGCAGCAGCAGCAGAAGCTCCGAACGCCTCGGACAGGTGAACGCAAACCGCGAGCATCACCTGCCACGCACCGCCCCCCGCCCCGGTACCTCCGTCAGAGGCGGGCACTGACTTCGGTTAGTTACCAGCTCCGCTGCCATCTGCTCGGAAGCATCCCGAGGTGCCGCGCTTCTCCCGAACCGCAAAGAAGCACGGCTCGCCAGCAGTACGCGGGGCGGCGGCCCAGCCCTCCGCGCCCCGCAGATAGCGAGCCCGGGGCCGGACAGCGCGTGCTGGGCGGCAGTTCCCTGCCGGCCCCCCTCCCGCCTGCCGCCACGAGGAAGTCCCGCACGCTCCTCCCGCCCGCGGTTCCTCTTCCGAGCCTGCGCCGCCGCGCTCCCCGGGGGCCGCCGGCTGTCAACGGGCGAGGGGAGGGCGGGGACCGTGCCGGCGGCTCCGGTTTCGGCGCGCGGGAAGCGCCGGGCGCCCCGTCCGCCCCTCAGGCCGGCGAGTCCCCGGCGCAGAGCCGGGCCGGGCGCTCCTCCCCGCCTCACGTACCTGCCGCGCGCCGGGCCGCGCATCCCGCCGCCGCCCGCCGAAGGAGGGGCCGAGCCGCCCCGGCGGCGATCCCAGCAGCCCCCGCGCGGCCCCGCCAGCCAATCAGCGCCGTCCCGCCGCGGGGCGCGCTGCGGCGGGGGAGGGGAGCGGGCGCCGTGCGGCGGTTTCGTTCTGCGCTCGGCTGTCCGGGCTGGCGCAGCGCAGGGCGCTGCCGTGTGTGCGGTCGCGACTCCTCAGCTGCCCCGATTAGGAGTTTTTATGGCTGCGGCTGCGCAGAGCTGAGAAACAAAGGTGGTCGAGGTGGAAATTCGTATGCAGGAGCTGTGCACCTTCAGCTGACCCCCGCAGCGCCCAGCCCGCTGCCTCTAACCGTGTAGCAACCCGGCCCGCGTTTTGTTTTCCCGTTTGGATTAGCTGACCTTGGGAGGCGGGGAAGCGCCTGCACAGCCCCTCGTTCGCACCGCTGCAGAGGGATCAGGGAGAGAGCGGGGAGCGTGAGAGTAGGAAAGCTCGCGGGTCGGGTTAACAGACAGCTGAGTAAGCGAAGGAAGGAAAGAGAAGTGGTGCAAAGGAGATCACCCGCCGCCTCCCGCAAGCGGACCGATGCCCAGCCGGTTTTCAAGCAACGTCTACATGGAAGGCAAAGTCTCTCGCCTTCTACTAGCCCAGCTCTATTGCTGAGAGTGCCATTCTCTGGTACGGAGCACCCCTTGGGCCAGTTCGGGTCAGCCACCCGTGCTGCTCTCCTTCCTACCTTCTTGCCCACCACAGCCCTCTCACTGAGGGGGCAGAGTGAGAAAAAAGAAAGCTGTGCAAGTGCTGCTCAGCAATAGCCAAAACACTGGTGTGTTATCAATGCTTTTGTAGCCAAAAAATCCCAAACACGGCAATATGGGGGCTGCTGGGACAAAAGCTAAACTCCATCCCAGCCAGACTCAGTACACTACTCCTAAGCGTCACAGACAATAAACGAGGTTGGAGAAAGACATGCAAGATATCCCAGCTACTTTTCAGATAACTGATCAGCTTTGTGCTTTAAATAGTGGAGCTGCTGCATCTGGTCATCTGCCAGGCATCCATTCTCAGTTTTGACATTAGGAAATTAATTCTTTTTGCTTCTGCCAGTATTCACAATGAATCCTACCACTCAACATTATTAGTTACAATATCAGCCAACTAATGCTGTGAATGACAGTCTAGAATGGGTTTCAGAGCAAAAACAGCAGTCAGTGCAGAGCTGCTGGATGCACTGAAGTTGCTTTGCTACCAGTTGCAGAAGTCACAGCTGTAAGCTGCACATCCAGCTTTGTTTTCCTCACTATGAGACCCTTCCTTTCCAAAAGGGAAAAGGTTGGGTACCTTCTTTTCAGCCTGTTCTCCAGAGCCATATCTGCTTACATCCTTGTAATTATCACTATTCTGCTGACAGAACATCTTTGTTTTTTTTTTACTTTGCTTTCTGATAAACACAGCTGCAGTCTACTTCTCGTTTTCATGCTTCACTGTGGTGTGTTGCTAGAAAGAAGCTGATTTAAATCTTAAGCTAAAATATTTAAACATTTTTATCTTCTTCCAAGGTGTAGCAAAGCATCCACTTTAAATAAACCTAGACAATGATGGTACCATATTTTAGGGTGTTTGTTTTATTTGTTGTATTGGTTTATTTGCTTGTTTTTATAATGCTACAGCCAACAGTAACATCTCCAAGAGGCCTCTCCTCCTTTTTTATTACCATTAACTTTTTGAAGTCACCACAAGTACCAGCCCTGACTCAGGGCTGAACCAGAATCATGAGGGACATCCCAGGTTGTACTTTGTCCTTGAGCCCCGTCATAAAAGCTATCTTGAAGCAGGCCTCCTCCATTAAGTTCTAATCACTGCTTTGCAATCATTAATCTATTTAACTGGTAAGTTTAAGAATGTGTTGATAGCCACCATTATTGAACCTTTCACATAGAGAAGCCTCTCAGCTATGTGACATGACATGATAGTATGCAGTGACCTGTATTCTGCAGAATATAACTAGCCCAAATCCACCTAAAAGAAGAAACTGCACCCATGTTGCTGGTGAGCATAACAAATCTGAGTATAGAACCAAAATTTAAAATCAGTAAAACTAAAATTTTTATTAATCTGGTTCAAAACTGCACTCTGAGGAGTATTAAAACTCTAAATGTATTCCTTTTAAAATCCTGAGATTGGTGATTGACATGTTTCTGTATAATCACTCTAGCAGCAGAGAACATCTCCAGAATTTTCCCCAGCATCATAGAGAGTATTCAGCACTTTTAGCCCCTCCCCTCCCAGAATATTAAACAGTCAGTAATAAACTTCTTTAAATGTTTTCATCTCCTCAAACACTTCCCTGTTTTTTGCCTTCAGGAAGTGATAACACTTGTAGCACACACTGCTCAGCATTAAATGCAGTCTTGTAATCTGATTTATTTTCTAAATAAATATATGGTCCTGTACATCCTTAGGAAAATGTTATTTGGTTAGGAGAAGTTCAGATTTGCTAATCTGTGTTTACTTGAGGTTTTTAATTAGGCTCCCAAAGTATGCTCAGCATCCTCTTAAAGTCTAAATGAGACTAAGTAAGGCCATCTAGTTTAACTCATTTAGATGCTGAAACAGAAACACTGTCTACATTGCCATTTGAGGTGTCACTGCTGCAAAAGAGCGTATGCAGCTAGCTTTAAGATCACTGACCCTACTAATTCATAGCAGTATTGGCTACAGTCTGCATCTGCTGCCATCTCACCAGCACTTTCATCACAGTGTCGTCATTGAAAGAATTTGAGAACTACATGCCACAGCTCCTCTGTTTCTTAGCCAGTCCTGTGTTCATTGTTGTATGCCACAACAGCACAGCTTCTCTTCAGATCACTTCCTCGTGTGCTGTAGGCACTTGAGTAATTAAAGCGAGCCCGAGCTGCCAGGAACACTGTCCAGGACACTGTCCAGGCACTGGCCACTCAGCTCTGCCTTCTACCCGCACAGCTACCCTACAAGGCTGGCTGAGTGAAGCTGTGGGGGCTGGTTTGCTGCAGCTTCCTCATATGCCATCCCCAGCAGAACATGCTCAGCTGGCTGTTATGGCAGAAGCCAAAATGAGTCAAGCCAGCAGTTGATCTCATTTCTTGGGGCCTAGACTCTGCTTCCTGGGCATCCTGAACAGAATGGGTGTATGTGGCATTTCATAAACAACAAACACATAGTAATTAATGGGAATCTATGAACGTCTTATCAAATTTCACTTCAGAAAAAAATAATTTGACATGCTACATGGGAACATTTTACCAATTCAGGAAACTATTATTATTTTGCTTCTTATTGTTCTGAAGTAAGCAAGGAATCATTTGAAAGATTTAAATAAAATATTTAAAAGAAAACACCTTTGTGGCTCTTGGTTGGTGCCCTAAATTATGAATTTTTCCATCAAGTTTTAAAAAAGAATGGTGCTGTCATCTTATTTGACTACTGCAAGTCTCTGACAGCGTGTTTGGAAACGTGATAAAACTCTGGATTATTTTTGTGGCACAATGAATCAGGAAAGTACTTTTTCATAAAACATTTAAATGTGTTTATTCTGTCACTAGCATCTCATGAACAAACAGAGGGAGCCTAGTATGAGATTAACACATGAGAAGCGGAAAGATGGGTTTGCCTGTATTTGAGATAAGTTGTGCTTCAAATCTTGTATGGATAACTTTCAAAGCAGTTATGATACATGTAGAAGTGCATACCCTTCCCTGATGGGCATAACTTCATGCATCTGACTCTTTAATGTTCATAATGACTAATACATGTTTATAGTTAGAAAAAGGACTACGTAAACCATAACTCAATGATCTGTGAAAAAAACACTAAATCAATTTTCCCCTGATTATTCTCACTGCAACTAAGTCAGCTATATTATTTTTGCTTCCTGGAGCAGTTTACTCTTTAAACAAATTAGGGTTCTGATTCAGTGGGATTCCTCCTCTTCAATAAACACGTAAGTACATCCTTAAGTTTTATTAACATGCATGTCCTTGAAGCTAAATAAAATAAAGACGGCTATCCAATAGCCTTTTAAATATGGCTATGCCTACTGGGCAAAGTGGGAACTAACACAATAAATTGAGGGCCAACACTCCTGTGACCTTAAGAAAAATTTTTCATAAGAATAATGGAATTTGGAACTAAGTGAATGAGATTCAAGGGGTGAAGGGGAATACGCTGCTCTTTCAGCCTCCTTTCCAGGGCTGTGTGTGTGTGTAAGGAGTACAAACAAGTGCAGGAACAGTGCACCGTTTCCATTCAACCTGACTGCATTTTAGTGCTCGCCGATTAGTCAAGCTGGAGGAGACAGGCAATGAGAAGGAAAGTTCTAATTAGTACATATATTTTGCTTTTGATAACTGCTCAAAATAGTAGATAGAACATTACCTACATTAAAGGCATTTTGTACATACTAGTGATTGTTAAAAAAAGCTTACTATAATGAAGTATTAAATTTGCATATAAAATTGCTTTCAGCAAACTACTGAGTACTGGATCTGCTAATAGCCTTTGTTCTGGTTGGAAACAAACGGAACCACGTAGTCCCAGAATGCCAGAAATAGGACAATAAATATTTTTGGCATGGTTTCAAAGGTGTGTATTACCAGATATAGACATGT